TGGAGTTTACAACATAGCGGGGAAGTCAGTCAATAAACACACACTCACTTTAATAACATGAGGTCAGAGATTTAAAAATGGCTTAACAGGGTAGGAAGATAGTGAACGAGGGGGGTCATAGGAGGGAACATGACATTATTTCAAATGGAAAGGTCAAGAAAGGTGTCTTTGAGGAGGCGATATTAAAACAGAGATATGTGAATGAAGTGAGAAAGTGAGCTAACCGAAGATCAGAGGGGAAGAGAATTCTAAGTAGCTAGATCAACAAGTGGAAAGCTCCAAGGCCGAACTTGTGTGTTCAAGGAACAGAAAGGCAGCTAGTTTTGTACTTGTTAGTGCTGTTTGTCAAATGTTCTGGTTGTCTCTCCCTCCAAGCACAAGGTGGGACGGCACTTCCTGAGTCCTCTGTAGATGGGTGGGCCATGTGATTACTTCTGGACAGTGAGTCATAAGCAGAAATGGTATGTGCCATTAATGGAGACCCAATGGAGACCCTCTAGAGCACTTTTTTGTTGTTGTCTCTGGCATGGTGATTGAAATGCTCTAGATAGTGGCTACTCCATCAGCCTGAATCTATTAGAGTGAGGAAGAAAATGGTGTGGGAATAGAGTCCCCAGCTGATCCTTAATAGACATGAATGTGAGCAAGAAATAAATGTGTGCCCTGGGCAGGTAGCTCACATACTTGGTTAGAGCGTTATCCTGATAAGCCAAGGTTGAAGGTTCGATCTCTGGTCAGGGCACATACAAGAATCAACCACTGAATGCATAAATAAGTGGATCAACAAATCAATGGTTTACTCTCTCCCTCTCCTTTCCTCTCTAAAATCAATTAAAAGCATTTTTTTTTTAATTGAGAAAAAAAAGAAATTTGTGTGTTTCAAGACTCAGACATGTAGTTGTTACTTCACTATGGCATAACCTGTCNTTAATTGAGAAAAAAAAAGAAATTTGTGTGTATCAAGACTCAGACATGTAGTTGTTACTTCACTATGGCATAACCTGTCCTGACTGGTACAGTGTAACCAGTGGGGAGAAAGCTAGAGGAAGAGTGGTAGGGGGTGAGGCCTAAGCATAGGCAGGGACAGATCATGTAGAGCCTTGCAGACAGTAATAAATTTGGATTTCATTCAGTGTGAATGGAAAACCTCTGGAGGTGGCTGTGAGATATGAAGTGGTTTGGGCTGGAGCGGCCATGGTGAGAAATGGTGGCTTTGTAATCTATTTTCTATGTGGAGCCTGCAGGGTTTGCTGATAGGCTGGCTATGGGATGTGAGGGAAGGAAGAGTTAAGGCCTCTCAGGTTTTTGTCCTGAGCAAGTGGGAGATTGGTTTTGCCATTAACTGAGATGGAATAGCAGGGGAAGGCCTAGGTTTAGGGATGGGAATGAGCAATGCTGCTGTGGACACGAGGATGGTGAGCATCCCGGCGGAGACTGGATTGGCAGTTGGATAAATGAGTTGGGAGTTCAGAGAAGAGGTTGGCTGGAAATAACAATTTGGAAATATCAGCATGTAGTGGCACCCAAGTCGTGGAGCTGGATAGAATCCCTTAGGAAGCAAGTGTAGGTGGAGAAGAGCACCAGGGCTGAGCACATGGGCAGACCGGGGGCAGGACCATGAAGTTCATTTGCTCTCTTCTGATTCCACGCTTACTGAGCAATCACTTGATTATTATTTGACTTCCCCTATCGGTCCATCCATAAAGGAAAGACTGGTCAGATGAAGTTGGAATATTCTAGTTCCCAGGACAGTTTTCATTGTAAATAAGCTGATCACGCTCACAAGTTTGGTTTGAGTCAGCCGGAGACAAATCCATTCCCAGTGTGCTGGCAAAATCTGATGGTGAGTCTGCATAAGAGGGACAGACCCAGGGCTGTGGAAATTCCCTGAGGGAGTTAATGACACACTGCTGGCCGGCATTCTTCATTAGCTCACAGTGGCTATGTTTCCAGGACTGGTGAGAAAACCCCAAGCCAGGTATAGCTAAGAGAATATCCTCTTGTTCGGTGATACACCTTTTCTTCTGTCAAATTTCTACTGATTTGTCACTGTGTCTCTCATGCAGTTTTTCTTCCATGCTGACCTTGCACTTCTTTATATCAGAATCCCTATTACTTTATTACTATTGGGGGAGCATTCTCTATGTGCTTGCTCTTAATCTAGTTTTTAAATTTGATTTCATTTTTGGGTAGCATTCAGACTTTAAAAATGAAAATGGCATAAAGTATATACACTGTCAATTCACCTTCCCACCTCTTTCCTATGCATTTCACCCCCAAATCACTGTCCCTACCCATTTTATTTTGTGTACCCATCTAGAGTTTAGGTTACCAATCTCTTGCTATCACAAAGCTGAAATGAACAAATAAATATATACAGGGTGGGGCAAAAGTAGGCTTACAGTTGTTCATGTGGAAAATAATACCATAATTAATAAATACAAGAATAAACTTTCGCGAACTCACAACTGTAAAACTACTTTTGCCACACCCTGTATATATGGTTTCTGAGCTGTAGTTTTTGTGCTCTTTGCTGTCCTGTGATGATGGGAAAGACATATATTCCTTTTGGGAGGGGATGAGTATTTCTAATAAAAGCTCAGGCTCAAATTGCATTCCTCTCCCCCACCCTTTGAGTCTGAAATGTGGATACTATGATTCTTTCAGTACATGATTACGTAACTCCTCTAGCTAAAGCAGTTCAGGGATGTTCAACTATTTAATGCCTATTATTTTGGAGATAAAAATGGCTTGTGCCGATCCAATGAGGACAAAAAGGAGGTTCGTAAAGGTTACTGGAGAATATGTGCTTATGGGAGGTGGACTGAGATGTTAACTTAAGAAATATAAAACTCAGCTAACAAGTTAATGTATATTTGTTCTCTTTTCCCTCCCAGGGTGTAGCAGGTTGTATTTTCCAAAGATCGCTGCCTCAGTATAGATCATCCCATATGTTCTTCTTGTAACGTGACATTGACACACTTTCCATTGAGTGGTGGGGGCTGTGTTCCCTCTGCTTGAACTTCAGCTGACCTCTGGGCCTTCCTCAACCAGCAGAATACAGTGCAAGTCATGCAGCTAAGTCCAGGAAACTCCCGGAACCATGAGAGGTATTAAGAGTGATTCGAACCTAGTAAGTTTTGTGGTTACTCATTATGCAGCAATAGAAAACAGGAACATGGCCTTGACTTTTAATTACCTTTACATTTTCTTTGGTCTTGGTTCCTTAATTTTTTTTTTCAGATTTTACTGTAATTTTGTCTGTTCTTATTGCAGGTAACCTCAAATCCTTTATGGAAGAGGGTTTAAGTACAATGTAATTATATTTTAAAAAGTGCTCTTTTATCTAACCCAGTGGTGTAAACTCCCTGGTGTTAGTCTACAAATGATAACTCATGAAAGCAAGCCTTATCACAATTTTTGAAATTTTTAAATTAAAAGAAAAAATTACTTTGTGTACACCTGTCCTACATTTTTTGCCCTCTTCTCCCCCCAGATCCTTTGTCCATGGAAGTTTGATAGAAGTAATTATGACCTCATCTGTGAGGACCAAAGGACTCATTCAACAAATGGTTCCTCCACAGCCATTTATTTGACTACTGTGCTCCAGATATTAGACCAGGTGCCAAATATACAAAGACTCAGTTCCAGCTTACACAGGGGCTCCTGAATTAGTGAGAAATTNGCTACTACTGTGCTCCAGATATTAGACCAGGTGCCAAATATACAAAGACTCAGTTCCAGCTTACACAGGGGCTCCTGAATTAGTGAGAAATTTATAGCTAAAGAACACCTACCATCAGCAAGGCTCTGGGCATGTCTGGAAGTCTTTGAATACCTTCTATGATGTAGAAGTATTTAAAACAACAATACAGTAATAATAAAGCAAATCAAATGACCTGACAATTTAAAAAAATGGAAAAAATTATACAGCAATTTTATAGTAGGTTCATATGGCTATGAATTCAGTGTAAGAAACAGAGCTAATTTATTCTTTCCATACTCACAGAAACAATGTTACCATATGGCATGAGCTTTACAAAATAAAATTATATTTAATGTAAAAGACCATGAGGCATTGCATTATAGGATGTTATAGTTTTTAAATACATTACTAGTAATCACTTTTTCAAGTTTGACTGTAATTAAATTTTTAAAAATCGTTTTTCCTAAATTTAATCCCAACCCAAGTAGCGTCACTATCTATCCATTAACCTCTGAGAAAAGGCCCATGAATGCAGGGACCATATCTATATGTTTTCCAGGGTATATTTGGCACCTGGCATACTGTAAACACTCATCAAGAATTTACTAAATTAGTACATTGGAAACATGTACTTAGGAGAACAGATTAAAGATAATGGTTTTATTCAACAAGCACTTCTGAAAAGCTGGTATAAACACAGCGCTGTCTTGGGTGTTATAGAAAACTACTAAAATTAGAAGACACTGTCTTATCCATGGGCAGATGCACATTTATTACTTGAACTTATAAACCTTTAAAATAAAATAAAAACATTTAAAATTTACATTAGAAATAAGTAATTCTTAAATTATTTGTTACTCCTGAATTCTGGCTATGCACCAAATACAAGAAAAACAGCAAATACATTAATTATTTTTACAAGCGCTTAGGGGCCTGGAGAAAATTAAAGTATGCTTGCATATCCTTTCTGGTATTAACTTTTAATTACAAAAATGAAAATAAGTTCACAATGCACAAAGTCCTGTTTTTGGTAGCATATATTCAATGGCAAATGGAGGGTGAACCTCTCTTCAGGCCTTCCACTAAAATGGAAATAAACAAGGGGCCCAGTGGTTAGGGTGTGGGACAAGCACCCAAGGGTCTCAGGTTTGAATCCCGGTGAAGTGCACATATCTGGGTCTCCAGGTCTATCCCAGCATGTGGGAGACCACCAGTCAATGTCTCTCTCACATCCATGTTTCTCTTTCTCACCCCCACCCCTCACCCCCCGTTCCTCCCTTCCATTCTTTCTCAGAAAAAAAAAAAAGGAAAAAATATTGTCAGGTGAGGACTAACAAAAAATAAAAGTAAAAACCAATTACATGTTTTTTTGAGAAAGGAAATAGAGATTCTGTACTCATTGCTTTAGAAATTATGAGTAGGGAAAAGAAACTATTTTAAATGAAGCAAATAATATGTTATATTATAAGCAATTAAAATAGGATGCATTTGAAGACCTCGTCCAAATCGGAAATTAAATGATTCTATGAACTAAACGCAGAAAGGTGAGTAGAAATGAAGAGAGTGAAAAAAGATACAAAAACGTAAGAGAAGGCGCTCTAAAGAAACTCCCTCCCCCACACAGACCAAAACAGAGGTGAAACACAGGGACATTAAGGGGGAAAGACACACTCAGTCAGATCTTGGCTTCCCTCACCCAGGCTTTATCCTCAAAATTGTTCCATGACAACCTAATATTAGTGTCTGACTGTCTGCTGGCCTCTTAGCGTACTTGTTCTAAAGTCTTTTTAAATTATGCTGTTTTCCTACCAAGACTGAATTGACTTGAGAATCAGCGGTCATATGCCTGCTTTACTTTATGGCTCGAGTTGGATTATAACTCCGTCTAATAAAGAACTTCCAACTTCACAGTTCTTCTTCTGACTCTTGATCGCAAATTTCCTGAGGCTGTCTCTTAATACTGATTACCAAATCAATGGTTAAAATTTTTGTCAAACACTGAAGAACTGAAGTTAGTAACTGGTATTTACCAGATACTGATTCCAAACCTGTCTGACTGCTTAGCATGGGTTGGTTGGTTTGCAGTGCATGGAGAGCTCTTATATATATTTGTGAAAAGCTGTGATTTCCTTTCTTGGATTTATACAGGATTTTGGGAATGCCTAAAAGTGCATTAGCTATTATCATACTAACCATGGTTGCTTCTGATGGCTGGCATTTTTTGGCATAGTTGAGAAGATAGTAATGTAACAAGATCTCAAAATTACCGCCCACTGGCAAAACACAACCTGCTGGTATATATGAGAAACAGTAACTCTGGGAAGTACCCCCTGCCAGCAACTTACATCTCACTGGTAACATACTCTCCTTTCCAGCAATTTTTGTGATAGATAAATTTTCATAAGAAATTTCTACTCCAGTGTTTTCTGTTGTTGAATCAGTAGTAGGATCACTCTCAATAAATGAATCGTGGTCAATTTTCCTGGTTTTGTTTGCAGATGAACATCTCAGTGTTTCATCTGTCTGGTGTGTATCTGATGGTGTCACTTTTGGTGTTGAACATGAAATATATGTTTTTAATTCTCCACTTGGAACTACCAAATGTGAATATACTTTTAAATTTGTTTGAGTTTTTGCCAGTTCACTTTCATTCTTTACAACTGTGCCCTGATAGAGCCTTTGTGTCGCACCATTAACAATATCTGGTAACTGATTACTTTCTCTGTTCTTATAAATAAGAGGACTTGTATAGTTTTGGTCACTGATTTGTGCCATGTAACTTAGATCGAGGTCTTTAAATAACTGCCGAAGCATTTTAAATGCTCCATGTAAAGCATCTTCATGTTGTTTAACAAGACCCTGCACCGGTCCACAAAGAACTATACAGTGTGGTCTAAACGAACATATGCTAATCAAGCCAAGATGAACATACCTTTTGGATCTAAGAATAAGGGGCTTACAAAATTTCACCAAAGCAGTGTTCAAGATTTCATACTGTGAAGAGGCTTGTGGCAGTACAAAGGGAGAAAGACCAATGATCCTCTGAATAAGGGAAATTTCTTCAGATGATAAACATTCCACCACTGATATGCCATTCAATGCTGCATTATAAATAACAAAGTCTGGTTGTTTCACACTAGATAGGAGCAATTTTACATTCTGACTCTGTAAATATTTCATTATTGCTTTTGTCCTTTCCATAATCCAAAACTGAGATGTCTGAAACTGTGTCTCTGAATTTAGAATAAACTCTGATCCAGAAGTTGAAAAGAGAGGCTGAATGGTTTCCGTTACTAACACTGTTCTTATGTCCCCATCTGCTGGACAGTACACAGAAAAGTCTCTGTGAAGCACAAGCCCGGCCACGATCCTGGAGTCTGAAACAGGAAGGCCAGTGACACCAATGTTCAACTCTACAAAACAGTCATCCACTAACTCAAATACTTCTTCAAGCCCACTCTCACAAGCCATACACTTGAGAAAGTAGTCACACATCAACTGTGAAATAAAGTTGTGATTATTTCTTCCCACTCTTCCACAAAAGTATGCTTCTAAGAGCAACTCTAAAGAGCTCCTACACAATGTTCTCTCTTTAGTGGATGAAGAAAAGATGGACAGCAAGTGTCTACTTAAGTACTGGTCCATAACATAGTCTAATATTTGTGTCTGAAACGTTAGAAGGGCTTGGGAAATAAATTTCCACCGACAACAATTTTTCCAGTGCCTTCCATGGGTTTGAGTATTTTTGGAAATCAATGAATCTTTTTCTTTGTCTGTGACTGCATGAAGTCCTCTGAGCAAATGGCAAAGAAGGATAATAAATGTCTTAGCACCATCTCCTGTTTTTCTTAGATGACTGGAAACACATGCCACCACCACCCTGTACAAAAAGAAAGAAACCAACTCAGATTTCCAGGGGGCTGTCTTCCTACATCTAGCTCAAGTTGAAATCATGTTTTCACAGCTATAAGCATAAATGAGAATACTGTCCCCGTGATATGTCCTTAGTTTTAGATTTCCCTTTTCCAAGTTCCTTTGTTCTCTTCCAAGATTGTAGGGCTGGGAGGAGCGGGGAGGAGTGAGACCTGTTCTTAAGAGTTGGTAAGACCTGATGTCCCGTATAGGGTGCCCTCGGGCAGAGCTCTAACCCTGAGCATACACCGGTCTCAGCCGAGGCCAGTTTTTCCCAGGAGCACAGCCTCGGGGGCGGTAAGTACAGGGAGATGGCCTGGGTGACGCTCTCACGGGGGGCGTGTGGGACGCGGGTACCTGGCCACGGGGTGCTCTAAGTGTAGCGCCGCCAGGAGGCGGCCTCCATCCCGGCTGAGCAGCACCTCGCCGGTGGGCTTCGTACACAGAACCTGCCGACCCTCGGGCCCCACGCAGCAGCTCAGGATGGTTTCCAGCACCTCGGCGACCTGCAACGCCACCTTCACAGACCCCGCAGCGGCCATAGCCCAGCGGCTTCCGGCCGCCCGAGCCTCCGCTCGCCGAACGCCTGGCCCGCCCGAGGGGGAGGGAAGCGGCGGAAGCGGAAGAGGCGGGGAGGAGGCCGGAAACGGGGCAGCCCGGCTTCTTGGTTGGGCGAGGAGACAGCCCTCCCGCCCACTCACCCGGAAAGCCGCGCAGCTCCAGCAGTTGGGGCTGGCGGCCCAATAGCCCGCGAAGGTAGCGGGGAGGTGCGGACCTCCCGGGGTTCCCCGTTCTGGAGACCGCAGTTCCTCCCCAGGCCCCTGGTGAATTCATTCCCCGCCAGCGGTCTCAGCCGCCACCAGGTCCCTCCGTGGTCCCCGAGGCCGCTTTCCCAGGTCGGCCCAGTAGCGCAGCCTCTGGAGGGAAGGGGGCCGTGGGCCGGACTCGGCTGGTTCCCTGCCCCCGCCCAAGCTCCTGGTTGTCCGCAGCAAAACCTCTAGCTTGGACTCACGCCGCCTGTCCGCTCTCCTTCCTTTCAGGAAAGCGGCTTGGGAAGGCAGGACAGACGCTGAGGGCCTGGTCAGGGGCGCAGGCTGCGGGCTTTAGGCCTTTCGCAGGGGCTTCGCCACGCTTCCAGGGCTCAGGCCTCACTGAGAACCCAGCCACCAGTTTACTTGAACTTTAGCAGGGTGACATGTGACTACTTGGCCACACTGGTTGGTGGTCAGTAGTATGCTTTAAAAAGTGCCCTAACATTACTGGATACAATCCAACAGCAGGAGGGAAAAAACAGCATACTGTTAGGCAGAGAGAACATACTGTTTTACATATTAAAATATTCAAAGATGAAATGGTCAAGAGCATGGGTTTAAGATTTAGATCTGGATTTGCTCTGCCATTTACTTATCTGTGGCATTCAGCAAGTAACCATGTTTGTTTCTGATACTCCCATCTTTAAAAAAAAAAAAAAATGGGGATAAGAGGCATGTAAACGAAGAACCTCAAGGTTTTGAGGAGGGTGACAATGTTTACAAATAGCTTTTTTTTTTTGGCACGGTGCCCAGCATACACTAAGCACTCAACAAATACTTTGCAGCTCACCCGCCAAATTAGTGTGACATGTCACCACTGTATGGGCCTCCTATTTCTACAAGAAAGGGATATTCTGCAAGGCGCACAAGAGTGGATTAGCATAATAGCATAACACAGGGCACCTATTAAGAGTGTGGTCAACATTCGTAAATTCTCCTGCAGACGGTTCACTGAGGTTGAACAGTGAGGGGCTGTTTTCCTTGCCCGTATTCCTATGCTCTATAAGCTATAAGCCCTTCCCTCCCTTCCCCCAATTAATAAGACAGAACCAACTGACTACTAGCCAGAAGCAACTGGACCCTGGAGAGCAAGAAAGGGAGCGGAGGAGGGTGGAGGAAAACCAGACAGGAATAATTTCTTGGAACTCACCTGATACTGACTCAGGATAGACATAGGCGACTTAAGGGGAAAAAAACATGGGTTGTGTATATGCTTGTTAAATAGTAAGGTGTGTTTCTCTCTGTGTGTATTGTTGGGTTTTTTTCTGGTTCTACCCATCACAAAGGGGCTACATTACTCAATACAGATAAGAGCAGAGGATTATTCAAAACATTAAAAATGGTACAATCAGAGTTCTATGTAAGTGAACAGTGGAAAAGAATGGACATTGCATCAGACTTGGATCCAAACTTGTGCTCGCTATCACTCTTACTCTATGAAGCTTTTAGAATCACTTAACTTCTCTTAGCCTCAGATTCTTCATCTATAAAACCGGGCTAACTTCCATTTATCTTAAGGTTATTGTGAGTACTCAAGAGGAATGTATATAAAGTACCAAGTAAAGCATACATTAGGGATTCTAACTGTTAAATCCCTTCCAAATCCTGTATGGTCCTTCACAACTACCCCCACCAAAATTTTTATTTTAATTTAAAAATCAGGACTAAGTAATTGGGTCTAAGTAATTAAATACATTATATTAAAAGTCATTTGATCACAATTTGCTTTTTTAAAATTTTATTTAGAATGCCTACTTGTAGAAGTTAGCATAATCTTACAGATCATTAGAAAAATTCAATTCTTTGTCTCTGCAAACATAATAATAGGTTAGGAATAAGAGATAAGAAATGTAATACATTACAAAACAGTAGCCTATGACTATCTGTACATTTACGATGCACCTTAAGGAAAAGAATTTGACAGTGTGCTGTACTTACACTGCAGATAACATACTTTTATTCTATTATACAAAACTGACCAGTGGTACTGTGAATTTATAAATGATCATCAATCAGAATATTTAACTTAGATGTATATTTAGCATGCTAAAAAGTGAAAAAAATTTCAACTGACATTCTGTGGCTCATCAGTTCAAATGTTTTGTGGCATTTTTCTTTAAATAAATGTCAATATTGTAATACTAAAATAATTTTACATGATAAATGCAGAAAGATAAAATTTTCTAAATATTTTAGAAAGTAAATTCACATTCATTTTGTCACAGGGTTCTTGTGGCTCTTCTGTCAATCATTAAGGAGACACTGGTCCTATACAATTTTAACAATCCATCTTCAAATAAAAACTGTAACAAAACAAACTATGTTAAGAGTAACAAAAAGTAAATACAGTACACTAAATTCACACTATAGGTAAACAAAATGAAACCAAATTACATACTAGTGGCAGATGATATATTTTTAAAGAATCTCTTTTTTCCATGTAGTCAGAAGTTGAAATGTAAACTTAGTGATTTGTGTGGGGTTCCCCCCGCCATTGGTTCAAATTGGAAAATTTGGTATAAATGCTAATTTTAATATTTTAGTTCTGTACATTTAACACAATTCAAAATAATCTGCAGCATCATGTATGGCTCATCAATACTGCCATTATCACCTTATGTCAAACAAACAAAACCCAAATATATTCATTGCTCACTAGAAATGCTAAACACTGGAAAAAATGGAATTTTATACACTTGTTTTCTTAAATATTTGACTAAAATATTCTTCAAAAAGTTAAAATCGCCTTTCACAGAATTTTGTGTGGTTATGGCACAAGTTGACACCCAAAACAGTGTGGATTCCATCAGAAAGGCACTGTTTACAATACTCAGAATAATCTGACAGGTCTACTTCAATGATGTGTGAGAGTGAAGAATATTAATTAGACAAAACTTTATAAAAGTATAGCATTACCATTGAAATATACTTAGCTATATAAAAGGAAGTAAGGTGACAAAGAGAAATGACCCTTTATGACACTTAAGCCTATAAACACTTTGAATCATATAGTTCTGTAACACAAAATGAGTAAAAGTATTTTCTTAAAGGCACAAAAGCGTGAATACTACTAAGTGAGGGTTGTATTTTACAAGGCCAACATTTTCAATGGAATGGTGACAAAGATTACACTGTATCTTTATAAATGATACAATAAGTACTGACATGAAATACAAGTAAAATATCTATTGCTGAAACTTTTATTTCACATGCCCTATTTATTGTCTTTTCCTGGGTGAGCTATACCTCACTGAAGGGTGAAAGGCATAGTACATTTAACAACCAAAACAGAAATGCACATGTCAATAATTATTACCTAAGTTTTCATTTGAAAAAATAAAATTTTTGATCAAATGAATAAAAGGATATAAGGTCTTAAATCCTAGAAACCATTATAAAGCTCTCAGACAACTGAGAACTGCACATCACAATTTTTATGAATCCATGTGTGAAGGAAGATTAATTCCAGGTAGAGACTATTCAAAATCAATCACACATATGGCTAACTACAAAGTTAATTATGTGTTTTAAAGGATTCACATACTAAGCCTTGTATAAGCACTGATCTAAAACTAAGCCACCAATTCCTGAGTTTTGTGTTCAGTTTGCAGAAAGGAACTCATACAACTAAAAGCATAAGAAGACAATTAGATTAGATACATGCTTTTAGTGTATAAGGAACAGTCATAAGTAACCCTGCTCTTTCTCATGAAATAGTTTTTGACTTGTTGGGTAATAAGAACCCATAACATCGGCCCTAAAAGGAAAATTAAAAAACAAAATAACTACATGTCCAGTCTCAGAAGATACCTATGCAATTAAACACTATTTATACCAAATGTAAATAACCCACAAGTGGGTAAGACTAAAACACCAAAAGGGGGTTTACTAACAAAATTTTTAAGTTTTCAGGGTTTAATGATGAAATGACTTTATGATCAGCCAATCAAGTTATATATAATATAAATTAATACTAGTTTAAACCATAAAAAAGATAAAATTGTACAATATTTACAAAATGTATATCAGGTAATAGGCAGCTGAGCATAACATTGGTAACAGAAAGTGAGTACAAAAATTATATCAACAAGTATGAAATACAAACAAAAACACCCACCTGTTCTAGTGCAGTCATATTATATATATACTTATATGGGGTATAGACACATCTTATTTATGCTTTAATCAATTTAAAAAATGTTTCACATGTACAAATGGAATACAGCATTGTTCTGCCAAAAATACACAGGAAATGGCTCTTCATAAAACTTTAGGATACTTAAGATAGTTATATTGGTTAGGGGGAAAGCAGGCTTTTTCTTTTATCATTTTCAATTTTCACAATTTAGCAATAATTCTCTGATTTTATATTTATCATGGCATTAAACAGCTGATTGTAATTTTACCAATGTCTAACAGTCTCTTCTTAATCAATGGCAAATGTAGCCAGAGCAATCATTCTGACTTTATTTTCATCAAAAACCATTTAAAAATCAATACTTTCAGGATTCTATGATTTATCTATCTTAGAACATGTTCCTAAGCTTAACTTACATTTGCAAAAATTGTTTTTGAGGACTATATTTATGTAAAAATTATAAAGTAAAAATATTAAACTGAAAAAGAATTTAGGAAAAAGTTTGCCTGAGCTTGAACAAATGGAATCTTGAGAATTATGGTTTTGCAACAGAATGAAGTTACTAAGAAATGAGGAGAATAAAAAATTAAACTTCAGAACTTGATGCTCTTCTTAGATGCGCAACTTATTGCACATTTTAAAGAAACCAATTTTATTGTATATATAAATGCCACCATACAAAGCTTCTTTTCTTATTGCCTTTCTCTTATTTGGCTTTTGAAGTAAAATGTTGGTTATAATTTCTTCTCTTCTACTTACTGAGGACACCACGGTTTAAGTGAAAGCTAAATATGTTTTTCATAATGAAAAAACATGAATTATCAGCATTTCATATGCCCTATAACTGATTTTCAACCAGTGGTGCTGCAAGAATTTTTTTTCCTGCAAGAATTTTTAAAACATGCACTACCTGGCTCTTTAGTCAGGGGCACTGACCTCTTTTCCCTTAGATTGTCAAATAAAAAAATGTCAACAGTTAACACAACAATAGCTGTCTGGTGTGAATGAATCAAAATTATACCTCTTTTTTTGGTCAGAGCAGCAAAAAATATATTTTTTAGTAATTAGTTTATGGGTGCTATGAGATGAAAAATGTTGAAAATTGCTGCCGTATAAACATCTCTGTAATTTGGCCTGTGTTATTGGACCGAGTTAAAAAAACAAAAATAAGAAAGGACAGCAACCAATTCTGACCACACTTTTATCAGCAAGTGCTTCAGGTGGTATTATATAGGTATAAGAAAGATATAACCAACAGACCCAAGTAGCTGCATACCATTTTTATGTTGATATACACTTGTGTACATTTGTACCTGTATCTATAAATATTAAATTCGAGGGGGCAAAAAAATCTTATGTAAACTTTAAAAAAAGCAATTTGCCACCTTATATCTCTCAATATATCAACTTTGACCACACTTTTTCTTGCTCTTTCTAAGACGACAATTAAGATGGGTGCTTTGGAAATGATTTTTTTAAAACAGTACAGTGTATTGAACTATTTATAATATGTCTATTATCCCATCATTTCCTATTTTGTAATTCCTTATTGATAAAAGTTTATGCCTGTTATGAAGAAAATAGGTTACTACACATATATTTATTATATTGATAACATTTTTGCTATGACCATTAGTGCTGTATCTCAGAACATACTATAGAATACAAAGACTACTTACTATCAGGTATACATAAGACACAATTATGTATACATGTGGATTTATTATACTCACATGTAGACACATTCTCACAAAAGCTAGAAATGCTCTGGCACTTAACATATAGCTCACTTTAATGACCAAGTAGAATAGCTCTTGTTTCAGGTTAAGGATAAAAGGTATGAAAGGTCAACACCTCTGCATTTATCTCTAAGGTTTTGTTTCGGAAATATTGTGATGTTTTAATAAAATCTAAACAACTTGAACAGTGGTCCAGGCTGAATCTGATCATTCCAGTTCATTGATTCACTGTAAAGAACTACTTAAACATGAAGTTTATTACGACTTGAAGCAAAATCAGGAGGAAAATGATGAAGTAGTCTTTTTGTTGAAGAAAATCTGTGGCAGGTGCGCTTGAAACTAAATGATTTCGAAGAGCCATAATATGTCTACAAAAATAAGCAACAGTCATTTTTTAAATTATTTGTCAAAAATGTTAGCACAGAACTCATAATTTGATATACTGCCTGAACAGCCAGCTGCTTATGCTATGTGGAGCTATTATTAGGTCTTGTCTAAATCTATATTCCACATTGTACCAAATATATTACTTAATGCTATGCATCAAACATAATTATTAGAGTTTGATGACGTAGAAATACATCACCTTCTCTGTTATTAAAGTGGTTTTAAAACAAAAATTTTGCTTCTTAGTTGGCCACTAAGGTTCTATATCTTTACTTTCAGGAGATAGAGGTAGAATTAGAGAAAAATCCTAAATTACCCAGGAAAAAAACAACAACAGATTTCGTAATGTTCATAACATAAGGAATGTTCTATAGGCATGTCATATGCGAATAAAAATAAAATGTCAATTTAGTCATGAAGTGAGTTTAAAATATCCTCTTGCCATCCTAAATGCTTTTGGCTAAAAATAGCTGATTAGTGAAGACATTTTCTTTTTCTGACTTCTACTCAAGTGTCTTACATACTGGTAAGACACTCTCTCTACTCTAGAGAAAGAAAAGGAGTCAAGAAAAACAAGTAGGCTCAGTTTATAAATATAATGAAATTAGAAAGCTTGAGTACTTTATATTAGGGGTAATGATACCAAGATGCAGAAGATGGACTCCCTGCTCTAGGGAGCTCATGGTCCAATGGGGGGTAAACAGACAAATACAAAAATAACTCTAGTGTAGTAAGTGCTCAAAAGGAGTATGTGCAGAGAGCTAAACAAGCTGAGTGGAGGGAGTAATAACCCCATAGGGCAAGGTGAGTGATTAGACATGTCACAAATGGGTGGCGTTTGAGTTATATTCTGAAGGATAAACAGGAATTTTTTTTTTATGGGCAGGGTGGGAGGAAGGGCCATCTAAGAAGTGGATTCAGTGTGGGCAAAGATCCAAAGATGCGAGAGCAGAGCATATGCTGAAGATGTGGAGTTTCATAGAACTTGAGCATGGGGTATGTGTAGGGGAATGGCAGGAGATGAGGCTGCTGATGAAAATACCAACTAAATAGGAGTCATAAGATCACTAAGAAAAGAGAAAGTATCTTTAAAAAAATCCTCCAGAACATCTAGCACTAAGTACTAAATATACAAAAGCTGGTTGGCTAACCTTAAAAAATTTTAAGCATCTGATACAGCAAGGAGAGGCAATGAATCTGAGCTCATGCTAGCCTTAGCAATGGAGCAGGGTAAGCGGCCTTTCCCTCCAAGGAACCTTCATAGGTGTTAGTGATCTTTAGCTGCTGGATCGTTGGAAGGTGTGTGTGGGAAAGGTCTGGGTCTGCCAGGGGAGCATATGAAGGTCTCAGGGTAGTAGTGGCTCTTTACCCACTGTTTGAAAGTACTTCAATATTTCAACAACTGGTGCACTGTAATTAAATATTAGCCATGAACAAAGGAGGCTGCAGAAGCCTTTGCTGGCAGATTTTCTGAGAAACTACCCCACTTCCACACCCAGCCCAGCTACATTCTTAGTATGCTATAGCAGTAAGATAAAGAGATTCCAATTTCACCCTCACAGATGAGAAAAAACAGCCTCTCCTCCAATATTTTAGTGTTGAAAGAATGTCATACATTTCTGTCATCAGGTGACAGAAGCCAAGGTTCTATTTTAGCTTAGTAATAATATTAAAAATGTAAAGTTTGCATATGATTTCCTACATAACAGGATTCTTAACTAATCCTCTGGACTCAAATGAATAGTCAGTATATATTACCTTTTAATTTCTTCCTGTGTTTGTTTTATAGATTCGATGGAATTTTGAATGTCTCCCAGTTCTATCCCTTTCTTTCTTCTTGCACTTGGTTTTACTGATTGAGCTAAAAGAACATTTAAAACAAACTTTATGAAAATAGTGAACATATTTAATTATAAACAATCCACATTTCAGCTTAATGATTCTCATGTAATAAAAATTTTCTCAGGCACCATTTTTATGGCTTAGAGATTAACATAATAATACAAATACACTGCATTTTTGAAGCTTCAATGATATCATTCCAAAACTAGAATACTAAAGATATATTTAAAGAAACTACAATTTAGTTAAGTTTTGGATGGCATCAGTTTTATTTTTTAACTAAATAAACAGACCAAAAAAGCTCATTAAAATACATATATTAATTTGGGGAAGGTATTACTCTCTTCTGTTTCTTGCCCATTTGTCTACATCTGAGGGAGTTAGTTTTTTGAGCTCCTTTTCAGTTTTATATTAATTGTTAATGTTATCTTTATTTCCCTAGTCACCCAAACTTTAAACCTTTTCCATTGGTTTTGATACTTCTACACATTTTTATCGTCAACTAGCAAACTGTATTGTTTCCCCCCCCCCCCAATTC